TTTTTTTTTTTTTTTTACTTCAGACAAATTCAAAACACACCACAATTTTTCAAGAAAAATCAATTTTAAGCTTAGTCAAATGAGATCTAAGATCAAAAAGGACAGCCGGGGAATGAAGAATGGGGGCAACCCATTTCCTTCAACATAACCATAATAAGTTTGAATTGAGAAAATTGAAAGAAGCAGAAAATCAAACAAATAAACGAATCTGTTCTGATATTGGTGAGAGAATAATTTACAAACACTTAGTAGCAATACAAAACTAGGACATGTCAGTTTTACACAAGTCACAAAAAAGCCAACACATTTAAAACAGTTATTTTAATGTTCAAAAATGGAATTCAAGAACAACAACAAAACCAGAACCAACCTAGTTCTCTCGCACTAAATATCAGCTAATATCGACCGATCAAAATGAAGTCATTGTCGTCCAGAACCTGAACATCTTTCTCTCCAACAAAATTCTCCCGTCCGAGCTCCTTCACTATACTCACAAACTCCACTCTCTTTGCCAAAGGAAGAGGTACGTATGGTAAGCGGAAAACTGGCCTCACAACTCCAAGCTGAGCAAGAGCTGTATTTAAGCCAATAGGATTTGGCTCGTGAAAAAGCCAATCAATAAGAGGCAGGAGTTTTGAATTCAACAATGGATTCTTCCCCTGGAACATGAGGTCTCTCATAAGACCAGGAACCAAGTTGCTAGTAACTGATATCACGCCCGCAGCTCCATAATCCCACCTCGAATCATGGCACTGATCGTCGTTTCCACTCCAAACGGTAATCCCGTCACTCATATACTGATCTATCCTATCATTCCCAACACATTCCTTGACACCAGCCAAGTTGGGACTCCATGCCACAGTTTGAATCACAGATGGGGGAATATCTTGGCCAGTTCGTGATGGCACGTTGTATATGATTGTAGGGCCCATGGGAAGTACACTCTCAAAGTGAGAAATCAACCCCTCCAACGAGGTCTTCCCATAGTAAGGATTGATATGAAGAGCTGCATGCATTCCAACGGCAAAGCCTTGTTCGGTAGCATGCATTGCTTCTCGAGTTGAGTTGCTTCCTGTATTTCCAATAACCTTTATGGAAGCACCAAAACAGTTGACAGTGTGACCGATGAGCATTATATGTTCGTCCCAGCTCATCAACTGGCCTTCACCGGTGGTGCCACCAACAATCACACCCTCAGCACCATGTTCAATCTGCATATTCACCAAGGCATCATAAGCTTCCAGATCGAATCTGCCATCTGGAAGATACGGGGTTTTAATGGCTGTTATCAGTCGAAGTGACTTTATGTCTTCCGTATTAGTCCTACAAACAAAAGGGAGAAGAGGTACTCACGTCTAAAACATTGTATTATCTTAGAACAGGATCTATCTTTTCTTCGGTAATTCTTTCAGAAAGTAATTATTGATGCACAAGGCCATATTTCTTGTATAAAATAATCCTCCACTGTAATGTGAAAAATGTTTTCTTTCACAAATACCATACAGACAATATATTTTAAAATCATTTCCTTCTTACATAAAATCGTTCTTAGTACACCTAATACTCAAAGTACACATGAAAAAAGAGGCAACCATAAGTAGTAAATCACTGAAGCGGGAGACCATTAATTATAAATTAACAAGTAACAAGTGCAAGCACGTCTAGATGACACAAATCAATTACTAAACTACATTTTAGAGTTAAGACAGTACAAACTAAAAAATCTCAACCAAAGAGAGCCAACAAAGATGCTGGCAGCTGCATGTTCATAATCATAAATCAATCAATCTTTTTGCAGGTGGGTCCGCAAATTAGTGATTCACACCAAAGGTATCCAACGTACTATTATCATTTAAGTGAGAAGTATCATTTATCAGGATGTACAGTAGTTAGTTCTTGTTTTGTGCTCCATTATTTGTGAGTAATGAATTATGGAATAGTGATTGGTGATGAAATGTGTGGTTAAAAAAGAATGAAAAGCTTTTTATTTACGTGTAATATTATTTTAACGAAGAATCTGTGGTTGAAAATGAGTATTGTAGAAAAAATGATGTCGTAAAATGTGGAAAAATGGTTGACAAACAAACCATTAGTTTATATTTACTCGACTAGAAAGAATAAGTGAAATATTTCAACTCGTAATGTAAGGATCAACAACACTTTGAAAGTGTAAATTTCAGATTTAATCATCTAAAGAAACAAATTGCGTCAGCATACTTCAGACTTTAGGCCGTGAAAAATCCAACATTAAATTCAAGTAAAGTACGACCTTATAAAGGAAAATTGATTTGCAAGGACAAGTAAACCTGAATCAGCACCTTTTCTGTCCTATTAAAAGTAACAAAAGATGAATGCGAAGGTCTAAAGCTTAAAAACAAAGGGTAATGGTTACCGATTTTTAACTTCATAACTACGCATTGGGAGATGAAAATTAGGAATTATGGCTGCTCTTGGTGACCTCCATTTTGCATTCCTCCTACATATTAGTAGAGATAGAAATCCGAATCAGTGAGATAAAGTAGACGCACTCACTGCAGCAAGAAGAATTGTGGCACCCACTTTCCTTTAAATCGGCAACGTATGCTAAATTAACAAAGAAATTACAGGGCGAAAAAAAATTACTTGTATTTGCATGAGCAAAAATCTAAGCGCAAACTTTAATTTTTCTTATCTGTACCTCAAATAAAGAATGATACTCAGCAGATAAACAATAAGACAAAAGTAAGAATCTTCGTGAATTAATTAAACCCTTGTTTGAGCTCCATTTTTGTCAAGAAAATGCATTTTTGGATAGTGCAATCATGTGAAATGTGCAGTTAAAAAATAAGAAAAAATTTAAGGTTTTTATGTAATAATTTTATCGAAGAAATCGTGGTTAAAATGATGTCAAAATACTGGGTAAAAATGTATTTTTTCCAAAGAATGAGGCTCAAACAAGCGCTAAACAATCAAAGTGTCTCCATCAACTGAATTAAACAAACAATCTCTAGCATCAAATAATTTATTATTAATTAGCAACTAAGGAAATGTGACCTTTTGTGGTTATCAAGATGCTGAAACTGTGAAGCGGCTTCCTTTAAGCTTCTGAAGGCAGAAAATTGCTGATACACCGCCAACATATCGAGAATTAAATACGTGTAGACCGAAGATACTTGAGTATATAAATGAAGAGGGCTTTATTTAGCTTATAATTAAATTCCAATGAGAAAAGTGAATTCAGAAAACTCCGATGGTGTTAATAGTTAAAATGGAAATGATAGTGCTTGTGATTGCGATGATTGTAATTGAGGTGGTGGTGGGAGGGAGGTTGAAGAGAGCGGCTGTGGATTGGGCGGTGGCAGATGCGCTGAGCATGACGTCAGAATACGGTGGCTATAGGCGGTAGGAGATTATGACGGCGGCATTTGTGATCGTGCGTGGG